GTTGTATACTCCAATCTAGTCCTTCCACATCCGTCAAACGACACTGACGCTGCAGTGTGAAATTAATGATTTTCCAGGACTCTAAAATGTGCCATTAATATGCATCCAGCTCGCCTCTTCCCTGAGCTCAGGGTTTGCTGTCCTGACACTGCCTGCGCGTTTCCATACCCAGTTGCATTTTTTTTTTCTAGCCCCATGGTCAGCTCCACAATTAAATGCCACGTTCACCCGGAGAAAAGGGTGTGCAAAAACAGATTTCAGATCCTTTAAGGTAAAACTCACAACTTGAAACACAGCAAGGAATGGGGTGATTTGAGAAATTACAGCACTGTTTTCCTTAAGCTTTCAGAGAATAAACACAGAGAATGGGAGGGAAACTTTCTCTCTCTGCTCCTGTTCTAGAAGTGAATACATATTTGTGTTTCCAATAAAAGGCCATTTTTACATTAACTGTCTGTAACAGCAGGAGACAGAAAAACTAACACAATCGCCACATCACACACAGGAGGATCTTCATATCACGTGGCCCTATTCTCAAAACTATTATTTATAAAAGACAACTGGGGGAAAAAATGCACAATGCATCTTTTCTGTGTCACCGAAAGGAAACTGTCTGCAGAACTTGGCATCTTTGGGATCTTCCACCTTTTAGGTTTTTTTTTTCTTTCTTTCTTTCTTTCTTTTTGGCTTTCCGAAGTAAATTTAGCAGCCATGTGGGCCACTGTGTTTAATTAAGCTTTCAAAAGTCCTCTGACAATGCCAACAATTGTAAGACACTTCTGCGGCTCAATCATGCAATCACTGTGACAGTTCTATTTACAATTTGTCTTAGAAAGAGTTTCTCTGACATTGCACTTTGACAAAACATCCAAGCTGCCAGTTCACAACCTTTCTCTGTCTTATTTACAAATACAGCTTGTATGTAGGGCTCCCCGTCTCATGAACATGAGCCCTGGGGTAGTGGCCTCACAGACATAGGCTCCCAGAGAAAAATCCTAGGTATTTAATAGGAAACAATATTCTCTAGTCTGTGGATTCTGAAGGTAAATAAAATGTTAATCAGTATATAGGGGGCTGTTGCTGTTGTTTAGCTGCCATACTAAAAATCCAGTTCAGCAGTAAGTAGTTTTTATTCAGAATCACACAAATGAAGAAAAAATGAAAAATAAGGAGTCGTAATAGAATACTATCATTTATAGTCTCATTTACAATTTACACTATAAAGTATACACGTACATCCTCCAGTTCAGCCTGAGCTGGCATTGGGCACAAAGAGAAAAGGCAAGTTGGTTTTCTAAATTCTGAAAAGCATAAGTATGTCATACTTGATTTACCTTTAAGTAACGTGCTAATGTGTTTCTGTTCTGAATGAGTAGTTCTCCTTTCATTAGGGTATCTGTCTTACATAGTATTATCTAGATATGAAGTGTAGACAAATAATTTTTACATACCCTGATATAAGCGTCTCTCTTCATGATCGTAAGGAGGAAAAAAATGTTACCTATCAACAGTAGTAGACTTTACTAAATTTTGTAGAATTTGTCATATTGTCTCCCATTCTCTCAAAAAACAAACAATAAAACAAAACAAACAACAACAAAAAACGTTTATGATAGCCCAATCCTAATTTAAAAATTTCTATGTGACAATAAGCCAAAACCTCAAATCTGACACATAGGATAATATTTTCTGGCCTTTTCTCTATGTGAACAGCAGTTTTACATTCACCAATCTCCAATGAATATTTCCCCAATGATAAAATATGAGACTAGGAAACAAAACAAAATCCCTATGAAGAGCCCAGGCTGCCAGTCAAAGGCTGCTGATATCTGAGGGTACACACACTGATGAACTGGGCCCCACACAGTATAACCTGCTCACTTCCAGTTACAGTAACACTATCGCAACCGGTCTCCATGGATCACAGTCACACAATATTTTGACTATCTGAATAAAGCGAAAAAAGTAACCTCATCAATGCAAAGGTGGGTAGGTAACACGTGTCCATGGATGACGTGCTGGGCACATACCCATCTATTCACCAGGTAAATACAATCCTTCCTAAAAACATGCTCAGCTTTGAGAAGCCTCTGTACAGTCAACATGCAGAGCATTTTACTGAAGATTTAAAGAACCCTCTCTTACTCTCCTATTGGAAAGCCCTGAATTTTAAGCTTTATTTATCTCAGGAAGATCTGTCGCTGTTTTATTCCCACGCTTCCTGCCTATAAAAATGGCCCAGAGCACACACTGGAGCTCACATCCAACTTACATCACTTTAATAAAGCCTTTCCTCCACAGCGCCCTCAATGACTACCTTTTATGTGGTTGCCAAACACCGTCTTCCAGAGATTCATCAATACATCTCTTTCCTGATATAGGGCACGGCTTCTCCTTTATTTCTGTGACACGATTCAAATATCTACTGAATGATCACCCTTATTGTTTCCTTCCTCGCCATAAAAAAGGGAAGCAGACTTGGAATTGTGAAGACGTGCTTGAGAGAAATGGGCTGGGAGTACACAGCTGTCTTCCTAGAACTTCGCTCTGGAGGCACCTGAGGGCCAGGGCATCTTAATTTATGTGCAATAGTAGAATGTTAATTTCATCATAGGAAACTCTTAATTCATTACTGTGAATTATGAGAAGTCGTGATGCTCTAGCTACTGACATCTCGCTCTGAGATGTGACCATGCTATTTATGTCCCGCCAATTCCAGGGTGGGAACAGGTGATTAAACACAGTGAAAGGAATCCAGACTCCGTAATTATTCCTGCGTGCAAGGTTTACCTCACCTGGGTCGAAGCACTCGTGCACCCATCATGTCAGTGAAATTATTTCCTACTGGCCCTATAAAATATATATATATATATTTTTTTTTTGCTTCTCTGGACTCTGTTATTGTACTAGTTCTTGAAAAATAATAATAATAATTAATAAAACCTTTATGACAACCAGAGAGTTAAGGAACCTATTTTTTTCTTCCCCTGCGTGGATTCACAACTGTCACAGCAAAAAAGCCTTTACTGCAGGGCCTTCCCCAGCTTGCAGAGTCCTCCTCTGAGTACAGAAGCACAGAATTCTCGAGCTGCTTAATCTGAGACTGAATAACCTATCTGGGACCTCCGTAAGAAGTGTGGTTTTAATTCTTGCCTGACAGACACTGTGTTTTGTCTTTTAAACGGGCAGCTCAATATGTAAATACGATGTTACATCACGCAAGTGTTACTCCATATTTGGTGATTTAGAAAGGCTTTGAATCTCCGAAGATGACAAATCCCCTTCCGCTTGCTCTTGCTTCATTAATCATGCCTTACACTCCTGTTCATTTTCCTTCCAGTCACAAGACAGCACATGGAAATGGTCATTGCTGTATCCTACTGGGGGGGGGGGGGGGGGTAGAATCTTAAGCTCAATGGTGGATTCGAGAAAAATATTTTGTCAATGCAGCTTCTCTGGGAGCAGATTTCTCATCTCACTGAAGGAAAAGTATCTGGATACTACTACTGCGGACGCATGTAAAAAAAGAAAAGAAATGCCACGTTTGATTTTTAAGGATCAAATTCCAGAGGGGGGAGAGAGAAGAAATAATATGATATTTAATCCCCTCTGGACCACTGACCTACTACAGTTCAACTTGGTGGTCAAACTAGGTCAGAGAGACCAGTTACAGTGAATCAATTGATTATATGCACTATCTTTCCAAAAACTGAACAAATCTCTTCGTCTTTGGGGGAGGGGGGCGCAGGGGAAAACAGAGGAAAGTGAGCCATCGACAGGCAAAAGCCATGTTTGTCACCACAGAATCTGCATGCATTCAGTCTGCCTTACGTGTTACATCACTGCTGTTTTCACACAAAGGTCTTAAGGACCACTATACAGTGTTGTGTTTATCTCTTAGAGGAGGGATTTAAGTCCCTCTGCTAGCTGTTAATTCCTTTTCCCTCGAGCTCCTGAGAAACCCACACACCTAGTTACCTCCCTGCTAACGGTCACCGAAGGAAGGGGGGCTGTTGAATGCACTGTACCTATTTTTCTGAGAGGATTTTTACATTGTGCCACAGCAGACACAGTGGAAGTCTGGACTGGACATTTGTAAGGGTGACATGTGGTTGTGTAAACCGCAAACAAAATCAAGATACATCTGTCAAAACCACATCAGAGACAAGAGAGAGCAGAGAGAAGCATTTATCATTTGGCTGAGGAGGCAGGCTGCAGGGAGCAGCCGTTCCTGTCAAACCAACCTTTTGAAATTTCCAACATGCCCTTAAACTTTTCGAGTAAGCATGTCTGTGCGCTTCAGCAACTGCCCTCTCTACTCTGGCCTGGCCAGTCGAAAATGGCATCTTAAAGTCAAGGTCACGGTGTCATCCCTGCCACGGGGCTGTGTTTAATTACAGCCCCATACGGGCTGACAGCCAATATGGATCCAAGGCTAGCCCTGAAGCTCAGTTAACTCTTTCCACCCCCTCCAAAAAAAAATGCCTGTCAGCCCAGCCCACACCGTGGAGGCCCTGGGAACTAGCCGTACCCCTGGGAGGTCTGACCAGGCGCTCTGACTCAAACAGGTCCCTGGCCCAGCAGACAGAGGCCTACATGGCCACAATGTCTCTGACTTGTTCCCCCAGGCTAGAAAAGGGACCCTGGAAACTGAGCTAGGTGTAGTAAGATTCGACATTTAGGGATGAGAAGGGAGGAAAGAAGGGAAGAAATTCAGAATCAGCAGATCCAGAGGGAGGGTATCAAGTATGTGCACCGACTCCACCTACATCCTAGTCAGTGAAGTGGAAAATATTTATTTTTTTATATTGTGTCCTGGGTGTCAGCAATTGGAACGATTGTTTTTAACATTACAAGCTGTCATGGACAGTCACATGGAGAAATACAGAAAAGCACTCCACCACTCACTCCTCAGAGCTTGGCTAACAGCGCCTCTGGGAAAAAAAAAAAAATGAAAAAGAAAACATGCAAAACAGCTTTTCTCCTTGCTTCTCATTTACCTGCTATGTGTTCCTGTTTGGGGCAAATTCCTCTGGATGACGTTGATAAACAATCGTCATCCTCTGGCGTGACCTGGATGCCAACCTCCACAGGATTGGATGCTTTTTTCATCTCGATGGGTGAAGGGGAAGGTGGCTTATCCACAGCTTTCTCTAAGCAGAGGCTGCCATTGCATTGTTTCCGTTTGTGCTCGATAAAAATGAGAATGTCCCCCAATGGGAAGTTCATCTGGCACTGCCCACACGTGAGGAGGTCATGGTCCCCTTCCGGAGCTCCCAGAGGGCCGTGGTCTGGTTCATCATCTGTAAGAATGGCTTCAAGAGGTTCGGCTATGGTTGGAGAAACAAAAGCACAATTATTAGAAGGCCAGAAAGGAGAGACGAGAGAGAAATACATGATCAACCCTACCCCATCCCACCTCGTTAGGTAAAGTGTTTCTAGGCTCTCCCTTATAAACCCCAGAAAACATGAATGCCTAAAATGTACAAAAGCTGTGGAGGTGGTCAGCAAGAAAGCACATTTATCAATGAGGCAAGTCATCATATATTTAAAGAAATCATCCTGTATTTGAAGTCGAACTTGAAAAGCTCCAGAAACACACCACACACACACACACACACACACACACACACACACACACACACACACTACAAATGTGTCTGGCTTGTGAGTTTGAGAAGAATGTGACTATTCAATAAAGTTAAGGCAGGGGACATAAAGAAAGCTTAAATAATAACTATTCTCCCCCCCAAAAAAAAAAATTGTAAAAACATAGATTGGAACCAAGTTTCTTTTTTCCCCCTACATACTAAGTTGTCTATTGTTCCAAAGAATAAAAGGAGAGGTGAATAAAAACACACACCCTTTGTGTGTGAATGTATATACTCCTCTACAGAGACATAGCTTCATAAATTAGAAAGCCAGACATCACACGGAAAATGTGCCACATTTGCACCGCCGTAATAAGAAAACGACTGCCTTCACCTGTGAAACGGATCTAAATAATCATCAGCACGCAGCATCGTTCCCACTGCCAAAACCCTTTCTCATCTCACGCTCAGCAATGCCACAAAAATCAAAGAAATACCAAATTCACTGGCAATTCTTCTCACACACATTAGCTAAATGGGATACTTTTGAGTACTTAAGAAAATAAGCCAATTAGTCATTTTTCATTCTGAAGAAAGAAAGCCTAAAATATCCTAAAAACATGTTTGTACTTGGTGGCCTCCATCACATAAAAAAATCAGAATGGTCAAGCAAACGCCACATTTCAGAACAAGGCTGAGAAGTCCTTTCTTTAGACTTGAAATACTTTGCCTAATGTTGTCAAAGTTGACTAATTTTCTGAATGAGCTCTAAAACGCTTCATTATGGGGCTATTTCTGCACACATAATCACCAGCGATGGTGTAACAAGGTAGATACGTCTTTTATCCCTATTTCCTTTAAAAAAAAAAACAAAAAAAAAAACACTTTGCACCAAAATACTCCAGAAGCATCTATTTGAACAGTTTCTATTACCGTTTAACCTTCCAGAGGGGAAAAAAGAGAGTTGGTAAGTCTCTGCTTCTGAAACCTTATGCTTACTCCATTAAAAAGAAAAAAAAATCATAAAATACAAAACACTTCCAGGATGCTGCCAGTTAATAAAACTGAAGCAGAAAATGTACAAGTCTTAAACAGTTAATCAGTCTGACCTTCTTTAGCAAGCTGCCAATTTCACATTTAATGAACTTAAAGCCACAGAGAATCAAAAAATAGATTTTAATTTGAGTGTAGAATATTGGAACAGATTTTGATAAAGTGCAAAAATCCAGTGAACTCAGGTTAAATTTATTTCAACCCTAGCCAGGCTGCATATTGAGGGGGAAGATCTGGAGTAACTCCCAGATGTGCTGGGTGAAATAATATTGAGAGAGCCCTGCCTGGCTGCACCTGTGTTCAAGTAGGACATGTCATAATTTCTAGCCTCTGGTCCTCCTCCTAATTTAACATAAGGTCATCCCAGGAATATGAAGGTGATAGTCCTCCTGATAAAGGCAGCGAGGTGAGCACTTAGGTGTCTTTGCCCAACATACTGACCAGATGATAAACACAAAATACGCATGAATATGTCTCAGATCAAGAGAGGCAGACGGAAGTGCTTATGCATGATGCCTCTATGTCATTTTGCTCCTGCATTTGCTTTCATTTTGACCAAGTGAGGAAGTGAATAGAGAAGTCATTGTCCCAGATCCCTGCTATGTGAATTCAGGATTTTAAATACACATGGACAAATGTGGGGGGTTTTTTGTTGTTGTTTTTTTCAGCATTGACTACAAGTTCTTAAGAGTACAGACTATAAAGAGAGATTCAGGGAAAATATTTTATTTTATTAAAGTGAGTAAGTACATAGACCCTTGGCAAAAAATAAATTAAAAAAAAATGTTAACTCCACCATTAAGATTCTTTTTCTGTTCCCAAGGCCTGACACATTTCTGAAAGCGGAAATATTTAGGAGTAGATGGAAATACCCTGCTAGGTAGCAAACAGTTAAAGGTACTGCGGTACAAAACAGACTTGGTTAAAGTCTTCTGAATGTAGTGACTGAACTGATTTACAATCAAAACCAGGAAATGAAGTGGTAATTCAGAGGTTGCTGATTACACCTCCACATTTCACCTAATTAATTTTATAGGAGGCAAAGTTCTTGAAAATAACAAGATGATCAAATGTACAGATATAAAACCTGTAACCTCAACATTTTCTATGCTCTTAATGTAAATTATTGCTAATTAACAAGAATTATATCCTAATGTATGAAATAATGTTTAACATCGGGCTCCCTGAAAAAACATTTGGCTAGGGATGTTCAGGGGGGGAAAAAAAAAACACCAAAACGTGTTCTTATTATTGCTGCTGTATTATTAAAAATCAGTTGGAGTGGGGCACAAAGAAAATATGAAAATACCATTCTCTCGGTGCAGTCTACTGATTTGCATTGACATCTTTTCTCAGTGGCAATCAACATTCCCTTTCTGGGCATCAGATAATTTCTCTGTATTTTAATGCAAATTCCTCTTTCCCTAAAAATATTCCTAACCTCAGCCATTTTACCCCCTCCTTCCATTCAACCCCATCCTCCTTCGCCCCACAATGCCACCCTTTCTGAGCCCAGGCCTAAGCTCCGGCTACAAAGCGGGGAGTCCAGGACTGAAGTGGAAGGGAGTGAGCAAATAGTCATAATAATTAGCGCGAATTCTCCACGAGAGAAAGAAATAGAAAATAAAATGCTTCTGCGTTCAAACAGCAAGACAGACTGAAATGTCTCCATGCCCCAGCGGCTGACTGAGAGATCTTTTCCCCTCTCTCTCTCTGCAGTTGCAAAGGAATAAATTTAAATTTAAAAAAAAAAAAAAAAAAAAAAAGCCTTAGAAGAAATGTAGGGAATGAGCGAGGGAAACTAGGGCTGCTGGGGAGGGGGGAGGGGGAAAAGAGCTCTGCCTTCAAGTTTGCTTTCCAAGTCCTTCCCTTTGATTGTCTTACTAACAGGGTCCAAGGAAGCAAACCGAGACCGAAATGCCGAGAGGGGGTAAAAAAAAAAAAAAAAAAAAAAAAAAAGCAAAAGAAACAAAAGCGAAGGCAGGGGCGACAGGCCCGGGGTAGGGGGCCGGCGGGGGGCCAGCCGGCCGGTGCAGAAAGTGAAGTTGGGTGCAGGGACTCGGAGGCACAAAGCGAGCAGCGTGCAGGCTGCAGGCTCCGGCCGCGCTCGCTGCGAACACGTGCAGCAGCGGCTGCGGGGCCGCGGGGCCGCGGGGCCGGGGGAACCGGGCCCCCCGACTGCCGCCTGCACCCCACCCTCCCGCCGGAAGATAAGAATCCCCGGGAATTCGCCCGTGGGGAGAAAAGGCTTAAACATCTCGTCTGGTTAACCTGGGGCAGCAGCCTCGGTCACACCGCACACACCTCAAGCGCGGCTCCCGAATTTCATGTTGTGTCCAGAGCCGCACACACGTTACTTTTCGGGAGAAAAATCTCAGCAAATGCATTTGCTCCCGCAATGCCGGCCCCGGGGTGCGCAGCGCCGCGGCGGCTGCGGCTGTTCATTATTAATGACGCCGCTCGCCCGCATCATTACGATGATAACTGTTACTATTGTTGTGATTTCGGGCTCCGGAGCCGGGGCTGCGGGAGGCGGGGGAGCCGGGGAGGTCGGGCTGAGCCGGTGGAAGGAGTGAACCCGGAGACTTCGGGGCCAACTTGCCCGGTCCCGACCCGCCGGCCTTGCCGCGGAACCGGAGCGCGCGCTCCCCTTTCCTCCCCGAACCAGACGCCGCCCGGGGGCCCCGAAAGAGAAGGAACGAGCCCTGCGCCCCGCTCGGCTCCCGGTTCCCCGGGGGATGGGGACGCACTGGGGTGCTTCCCCGCAGCCCTGGCCTGGAGCATTTTTAAAGTCCAAATGCAGAACAAAGACAGAAGGGGTGATGGGGGGGGGGGGGGATGGAATTCTGCCTAACCGTCCGTTTCCCCCGCCCCCGCCCCCGCCCTATAGCAGAGCTTTTCCCTCCCCGGCGGAGACGCGGAGAGCAGCGGGGTGGGGGGTGGGGGAGGCTCTGGTGCAGGTTCAAGTTCGCTGAGCTTTCTTGATCTTGGTCTGCCTCCTAGCGACCGAAAAGCTTCCATCCTTCAGCCCAAGAAGCAAAGAATTGGGGGGTGGGGGGGATGAAAGGGGGGGGGGAGAATGTCTTGAAGATCCGAATGACTCCCGCCCCCTTCTTGGCACCCAGGAAAGCGAGCGACCCCGCACCCCCTCCAAGCTGGTCTCAGACCCTAAAAGCCCGCACTGGGGCGAGTGGAGAGGAGAGGGGAGTCGGGGGAGGGGTGAACCCACCCAGCCAGGCGTACCCCAGGAGGGACCCGGGATGGGGGTGGGGGTGCGGCGAGGACGGCAGGTCTCAGGTCGCCCTTGGGAGCCCCCAAGGCGTCCTTCCTTCCGAAGAAGGGCCCGGCTTTCCCGACTCCTGCGAACGCGGCCCTGCCTTCCCGCCGGTACCTGGCCGGGCTGTAACTCACACCGCCGCGCCCGCCGCGTCTGCTCCGCATCCGGCGCGGCCGGGGGAGTGGGGGGCGGGGAGCGCGCGGCGAGGGAGGGCGGGAGGCGCGGGGGTGGGGAGAGGGAGGGCCCCGCAACGCGCCGGGGCGGGGGAGCCTCCAAATTGTGTGACAAGTTCCAGGGCCCAGGGAAAAAATCGATTCTCTGTGCGCAACCCCCCCCCCCTCCAACTTAAAAAAATAATAATACAGGATTGGGTATATAGATGGTCCTTTAAAAAGGCATCAAACATTAAAATCAGGGTGGTGAGCGAGGCGGGGAAAGGGTGTGGGCCTCCTCTCACGCCTTTCTTTCCCTCGCTGACAAACTTTCCTAAGTGGCCACCCCTGCCTTGCCAGACGCACGCTCTAGCCAGGAGAGAGCCACCCACCCAGCCCTGATGGGGGCTCACCAAGGCCGCCACCACCACTACCTCCCACCCCCATCCAGACCGAGCCAGGCCCCGGATAGAGGGCAAGAACTCAGGGGTGGGGGGCGCCAAGTCCTGGGATGCAGGACTCCCAGAACGCATCTTCGAATATACTCCCCCCTGACGACCTCCCCACATCCCCACCCCCACCCCTACCTGGCTAGTCAGGGCTCAGGGGGCCAGGAGGACAGAAGGGGGTTGCTGGTAGCCAGATCGGGTGCAAGGGGGACAGGGAAAGCACGTGGTGACCTCCCCGCTGTCCAGAGCTGTGGACAAGAGACGCGGGGAGAGGGAGGGGGAGGGCGGGGAAGTGGGGAGGCAGAACGCGCTTTTTCAGCTGCTTTGCAAAATAAAAACGCTTTGCAAAGCCGAGTTTCTCCCCAGCCGATTCCGAAGTTTTGAGTGTCGTGCTGGGGGCCTGAGAGGGCTGCGGACCCCACCAGCGCGGAGTCTCGGCGCGGCCAGCCGCAGGGCCGGCGGGCGGGCGGCGGGCGCGGGTGGGCGATCCGGGCCCGGCGGGGGCGCGGCGAGGCCCGGCGAGGCCCGGGCGGCGAGGCCCCGGTGAGGCCGGGCCGCCGCCGCCTGCTCCCGCCCGGGCTGCCGCGCGCGCCGCGCTCGGTCCTCTCTGTCTGTTTGTTGGCAGGAGGCTCCCGCACACGCGGTGCTTGTAAACATTCAGACACGAGATTTTTCCCAATCAAAATCCACTTCCACTTTTTTTGAAAATCTTCCAAAAAATAGTAAGAGGAGGGAGTTCCTCGCTCCCTCTCCGCGCCGCTGAGCGCTCTAAGTTTGCAACTGAAGGGGTTTGGGGCGGGGGGAAAGAGGTCATTGTGCAGCATTTCTCCCCATTATTGAAAGAATGTGAGATTTCTGCCGGGGGGTTAGCGGGGGGGGGGGGGGGGGTGCTCGAGAGGAGAAGCGTTGCAGAAAACGGCCGGCGGAGCGGTTTTTTGGCTTCTCGATTTGGGGGGGCAAAGACATGTTGCCTTCTCTTGCCTTGTTTTATATAATTTTTTAGATACATTTTTTTATGTTGCTTGTCTTCTCGCCGCCGCGGAGCAGAGGCTGGGAGGGGCGGGCATCCGCAGCCCAGGCGGCGGCGGCGGCGGCAGCGGCGGCGGCCCGCTCTGCCTCCCGGCAGCTCGCCCCCGGCCCTCGCTCCGGCTCTGCGGCGGCGGCGGCGGCGGCGGCGCGAGGATCCGGCACAAAAGGCGGCGGGACGGACGGCCACCTCGGCCCGGAACAAAAGGCCGGGCAGCGCGGACCGCGGCTCCGCTCCTGCCCGGCCGCCCGGCTCCCCCGGCCGCCGCCGCGGCCCCTCTCCGCGCTCCGCAGACTCCGGAGAGAGCCGGGGGGCCCCCTCCCACCACCCCACTTTCTCACTATTGTAAGGCGGCCACTTTCCTCCCCGGGCACACTTGACCGCGAGCGCGCTCATGTCCGAGGGCCAGTCTCACCTATTTTCTCCCCGGGAATTGTCTTTTTTTAGGCTTGTGTTCCCTATCACACACACACACACACACACACACACACACACACACACACACACACCCGCTTCCCTTCCTTGGGTGAGTGCAAGCAAAAGCCCCCCTTTCCCTTTCAGTTCCCTCCCCTAGGTCTGCCTGCTCGAGAGTTGTTCGCATCTGTACATCTATAGCATTGTTCGGGGGTTTTTTGTTTGTTTGTTTGTTTGTTTGTTTGGGGGGGGGGGGTTTGTTTTTGTTTTTGCAAAATTGAAGGAGAAATCATTGCATTCCTTTCCGAAAAGCGAAATAAAGCAGCGGAAAGCAGACAAGAGGAGAAGTCCCATTTTTTGTACGGTTAAAATAAAAAAGGTGCTTTGCTGTCCCAAAAGTACCTACGGCTACGGTTCGGGATGGAATGAGGGTTTTTTTTCTCCTCCTTTTTAATCTCTTTTATCCGACTCTCGGAGGTTTTTTTTGTGTGTGTGTGGGGAAAAAAAATTTTTTTAATGCATGCACACACATCCCTGTCTGCTCCCCGCTCTTACTTGTGGTCCCGCGCACTCTCGTGATTATTAGTAATTATTATTACTATTATCGGGTTACTTACGCGAGAATTCCCGTTTGCTTAAGTGCTGGGGTTTGCCTTGCTTGCGGCGAGACATGGTGGGCTGCGGGGCGGGCGGCGGCGGCGGCGGCGGCGGCGGCGGGCGGACGGCGGCTCGGTTCACATCGGGAGAGCCGGGTTAGAAAGGAGACTCCAGAGAAAATATCTTCATCAGTGCCTTTTGACATCCAAAATAAATTAGAAATAATACAAAGATGGCGCAGGGAAGATGAATTGTGGGAGAGCCGTCATGGCTTTTTTTTTTTTTAAGCAAAAAAAAAAAAGAGAGAGAGAGAGAGAGAGAGAGGAGATGGAGAAAGAGAGAGGAGAGAGAGAGAGATGAAAAAAATGGCAAAAGCCCCCCTGAGCTGCAAGTTCAAGTGCGGACGTGACGTCCCTGCGAACTTGAACGTCAGGAGTCTGGATGGACAGAGACACACAAAACATGGGCAGGGCGAGCAGGAGAGAAGGGGAGGAGGGAAGGGGAGGCTCACACCAATGGACACACATCAGGGGCTGGACATGAAAAAGAGACCAGGACAAGCCAATGGCCAGTGCGGGGCGGGGGAGGTGCGGGCGGGGGGCTCCGCAGACGCCAGGCGCGGCCCCCGGGGGAGGGGCGGGCGCAGGGGAGGGGGCGCCGGGCCGCGGGCTCACCAGCGGCCGCCACGAGCGCCCAAACAGCGGCGTGGCTGGGGGGGAGGGAGGGAGAAGAAAGGGGCGGAGGAGGGGATAGGGGTGCGTGGGAGGGGGCGAGGGGGGAGCGAGACGTGCTCCTTCCCCCCACGCCGCACGTGCACCCCAAAATGAAAGCTTTCTTTCCAGCCGGAGTGCCCGGGGAGGCTGCTGGCTGCCCGGGGCCGGAGCGGCGCGGGCGGAGGGAAGCCAGGTAGAGTTGCTCCCGGACACCCTCCCCCGGGCGCACCCCCACTTCCCCTCCCGCCGCCGCGCTCCCCGCTCCCAAGTGAAAGCTCCGAGCCCGCCCGCTGCTGCGCTCGGGAAACTTTGCCCGAGGAGAGGACAGAGCTGGCCACGAAAAACCACCCCAAGTTGGGAGCTGAGCCTCCAAGTTGCAGCTCCGTAGCGGGCGAGGGGAAGGCAGGAGGGAGCGCGTGGCGGCGCGGAGTCCAGCCCAAGTTTGGAGGGTGGCGGGTCGGGGAGGGCAGCGCGGGGGGCTCTGGAGAGGAGGGGGGGCAAGGGCGTGGAAGGCGGTGCAGGCCCCAGGAGGGCGCCCCCAAGGCCGAGCGGGGGGGTCCGGGGTACTGGAGCGCCCCGACCAACGATTGGGTCTGGATGCAACTAGAAGCACATGGAGTAGAGACGCCCAAAGGGTCGCGGAAAAAGAGAGAGAGAGAGAGAGAGAGGCCGAGAAATAAAAACATGAGCAGCCAAACTCGGGGCACGTTTGGGGCCCCGGAGGGGAACGATGGAGGCGCCGAGCGGCCGCGGGCCGGAGGACAAAGCGCGGGCGGCCCGGGAGCCCAGCCCCTGGGAGCGCGCCGCTGGCGCCGCGGGGGGTCCCGGAACCGGGTCCCGAGGAGGGACACACCCCCTCCCGGTCAGGAGCCGCTGCCTAAGCGCAGGAGCATGAAAAAGAAAATGTTTCTTACGGACAGAGCACAACTACTCCTGTGCTGTTACCCGAGGAGAGAACATAGGGAACGGAGAGAGAGCGCGCCTGGCTCGCTGGGGCAGTGGGGATGCGGTGGTGGCGGGGTGGCCGCCCCGGGTCAGCGCCGCGCTCCCCGCGCCGAGCCGCCCCCCCTGGAGCCCGCACCACCCCCCTCTGGCCTCTCTGCAGCCGTCCCCGGGAAACTAGGGGAGACCTGTTGGAAATGAACCCCTGTCTCTTTAATGCATGCGCGCGCGCGCTCCAGCGCGTACACACACACACACACACACACACACACACACACACACTCACACACACACACACACTCACACACACGCACACTCACACACACACACACACACGCACACTCACACACACAGACACACACATGCACACACACATGCACACACACGCTACCGCTGTCAAAAAGCGGGCTTCACTCTGGCGTGGGATACTTTCAGTTTTTACGTAAAACGTACAGCAACAGCACCCCCTGCGATTGGAAAGTTTTATTCGGAAACGTGCCTCCCCGGGCCCCCGGCGGCGTCCCCCGCCTCCCCGCCTCCCCGCCGGCCTGCGCCACCCGCAGCCCCGGCCGCGGAGCCCGCGCCGCCGTCACTGACCCGGAAGGCCAGGGGGGCCGGGGCAGGGGCTCGGGTCCGAGGGAGGCGCGGAGCGTGCGGGGCGGAGGCGGGGCCCCGGGAGACTCCGAGCTGCAGGTGGACGCGCGTGTGAGTGTGTGTCTTGCAGAGCGAGGAGTCTCCCTCCGTCCGCTCCCAGCAGCTCCACCACCCCTCGTGGCTTCTCTGTCCCCTCCTCAGTCTAAGGGACTTCGTTTTGTTTTTTGTTTCCTCCTCCCCCCCCCCCGTACATTCGCCCACCCGGCAGGGGGGCTTTCTTATTTTAAAAGCAAGGGCCTGGGCTGGCAGGGGCGCGCCCACCTCCCCAGCCGCGCCGGCCTGCGGCTGTTGATTCCTGGGTTGTCTCAGTAAAGTTTCCAACCTATTGGAACACGACTGGCTTGCCTATAGCTCAGCGAAGCTTCGGGTTCTCCTGAGAAAGAAAAAAAAGGAGTTTGGACGCGCAACCTTAAGAGAGATGTGGGCTGGACTGCATTGGTGTAAACGTGGTGTGTTGTTTCTCTCCGGTTTGGGGGAGGGGGGGCAGGGGGACTCAAAACCTGTTTAAGAAGCTGGACGATTCACTTTCAGTAAAAGCTCTGTAGCGTGTACGTTCCACCATTTCCCCTTTTTCATGAGTTCTTCAGAGCAGGTCAGCATCTCTCTTCCACTACTAATTTTTTTTTTTTTTTTGTCGAGTTAAACTTAGAGCAGCCAAAAGAATGTCCTTGCAGGGTGGGGGGAGGTGGGGAGGAGGGGTGTGCTAGGAGAATAGTTGGAAGAAGGGGAGGAGAAGGGGGAAGAAAGTGCAGCTGGGAGGCCTTTGCATCAATAGAAGTCCCTTCAGGTAACAATAGGGAGTCAGATTCTTTCCGGACCCAGCTTTTCGAATTTAAATGTTTTCCCCATCTATCCATAAACGTCCACATATAGAGAAGGAATATATACATGGGCAAGGGTGTTGTGGAAATCTATATGTATGATTTAGATGGAATGGCATGTATGAAGCTTTTCAGGGGTGGGGGGGCTGTAGTGTAAAAAGTGATGACTTTATTACCTCGGAAAGGTTGTGTGCGGTTCACATTTCACAGTCCTCGGAATTGTAACTCATTGCACAATTCTGCTCTCTGCAGCCGGGACCCTATCAGGGCCGCTATCTGTGGTTATTTCCAATAAATAACTGGCAACATTTTATTGATTTTCTTTTGAAAAAGAAAACATAGGAAATTAAGCACTTAGTTACAAGGAGGTCTGCTATGTTACTGCACTTGTTTCAGATTCTAGGGGGATTGGGGGGGGGGAGGTCCTTCCTAAACCACATCTTAAAACATACATTAAAAGCTCAGTTTTGCAGCTGCTTTCCCTGGGTGCCCATGGAGAGGGGAGCAGTGACATTGCCACCATTAACATAGACTTAGTGTTTCCATCATAAAATGCCCAGAGTGAAATAGGAACTGCCCTCTGCTCCCACCCTTCCCCTCCCCCCCCCCCCCGATTTCACCCAGTCCAGAAAACCAGACCTGTGTGTAATTTGGTCCCTTCTGGTCGCGGACCCCAAGTCACGGTGGTACCTCGGCTCACCCCAGCCAGTGATGCCCCCTCCCTTAAGGTGGCTGGATGGCTGGAGGCTCGCTAAAGCGCCCAACAGTGGGGGAGGGGGAAAGGGAGTTTGTATGATTGTTTCAAGACTTAAAGATGTGTTGTTTTTAAGAGGTTTTAAAATATGACGTAAGTATTGATGAACGATGCAGGTGGTCTTGTAGAGAGGTGAAAGGTCACTTCAAAGGAGCACACTTGGATACTTGGATACGCAAATAAGTATATGTACCGTCCCAAAAGTGGCTTTCGGAAAGTGATAAATTGTGACCACGTTAACATTATTTTTCTGACCGTTCAGTTAGCTTCCTTTGGAGCTGCGGAGCCTTTGCTGATTCCACGAAGGGGGTAAGATCCTCCGTGGGCTCTTTCCCCAAACCTTGGGTGACGGCGTTGCCTGCAAACTGCAGGCCGGCCAGACGACCCCTCCCTCCCCTCCCCTCCGCCCCCCTTTTTATCTTGCCTGCGGAGGAGACTCCCCAGGACTTCCTGCAGTATATATTCCGCCTCTGATCTCCCTTACTTAATAGCCAAGCCCTGGTTTATGCTTTATAATGTGTTGACAAGTTTTCTAACAGACTTTCTGAAATAATGCACATATATTCACGTCGGTTAAAAGAACCACCGTATTTTTTTAGAGCCCAGGCAGATCTATACCCTAATGCAGGGAGAGGGTGTAAATCATAGAGGATTTCATAGTCCTTTCAGTAGTTTTCCGTATGAAGTATGAGCCGCGTGGCCTCCAGACGTAACCTTTTAGAAAAAAAAAAAAAAAACGACAGTGCTTTTATTTTATGGTGTAAAGTGCTTTTAGCTCCGGGGCTCTGAACGTGAACGTGGTCAACAAACAGCTCCGAGAGGGAGACTTCCTGCAGTCCCAGCCCTCCTCGTGCCACGGATCGCCTGGCGCGGGAGACTCCTGGCTGAGCCGGGGAAGGAAGGGTTAAAGGGTCTGTCTCGATGGAAACTACGAGATTACAATAAAATATTCACTGCCTGCCTGGAGGGGGAAATACCTTTACAGACTTAAAGATAAATAAGTGAATGACTGAATGAATGGGTAAAAATACTATCGATCCCACCTTGCTTTTCACTCCCCCCTCCTCACACACACACACACACACACACACACACACACACCCTAAAGGCAGTTCAGAAAATAGAGAATGGGCAGTCATCTTCATAAAAATAACACTTAGGGACGGATTCTACCCTTAGCATAGGTTTGCA